TTTCTTCCTAATCGACTGTTGTTTCTTCTCTTTTGTTTCACCATATTCCTTGACCCTACCTTCACACCACTCACTAGATAATTTCAAACCTTTTGTTTTTGCAGGCCCTAGAGTTCCCACTGATTTACATGTTGTACAGCCTAGCCCTTGTTTCCTAATTGTCAACCACTCGTATATTTTCAATTTTTCTAGCCACTGATCTTGTGCCCAGTAATTAGGGAAATAATTAACGTAATTTTCATGCATCTGATTTTGAGTCACGCTTCTATCTATTGCAGCTGTATTCACACATTCGGTGGTTTCGTCTTCGTTGCAGTGGATGGAACTTACAATTGTTTCACTTTTACTTACAGTTGCACACGGTTCATTGCTGCCACTTTCACTTAACTTGGGTTTCTTACTGCGAATTATCCATTTCTACATTTTCACCGATTAATGAAAACTGATGCTGAACTAAAATAATATTTCATACAGTTTCTGTCATTGAAGCAAGGATCAACCCAAGGATCCTGTTATGGTCCCAAACTCGAGACTGAAAATCAAGACATTGTTTAAATGTTCCGAGACTTGCGAAAAGTGTTTTACAGCCATTACATTAGTATGTCAACACCTGGACAGGCAACTAGGTTAAGAATGTTGATGATCAGCATTTATGCGTAATCACATAAGTAAGAAGCTCTGCTAACGGGGCCACTGGAGTATGGTAATATTATTAAATACGCAGCGATGAGATACCATGGGCCCACCCACAACCACAGGGAATTGCCAATTAGAATATAACTTTGGAAATTGAGAACGAAAAGAGGAGTTAACCTCCCTCTTTCGTCAACAGACGATTCAGCAAGTTAATGATATAAATTACTGAATTCGGGAGACAAGGGATCTGACGGAAAACGTAATAACCAGTTGTCAGCCGGAGGCTCTATTCAATATGGGCCTTACGAGTGGAGGAAATGGCCTGCGTCTCCTATTTCAAGTAAGTCACGTTTACTCATATAAGCCATGTTGTTAAATATTATGGTTGATAAAAGTGTCGTGGAAAATGTCGAAAGCAAACTCCAGTGTACCCGGCGAGCCCTTAGGGGAGCATAATTATGTAACATGTAATTGCCTAGGAAGATAGTCGGGCAATATGGCTGTGTTATGGTGTATGTGTTAAGATTACTGGTAGTGTGTAGACTACGCATATTTGCGTGATAGTTACGACTAATGATTTTTGTAATAAATATAGTATGTGGGTTTTCAATATGTATAACTAAGAGCAAATTATTTTAAGGGTGAAACTTTACGATAGGATAGTGTAGTAGTATGTAATGAGTAGTAGGAAATTGATACAGGAAAAAGGTTCATGTTAAACGAGGAATAATTGCATATCCTCATTAGTCGAAACAGAACGAGAGAGAGGCTCAAGGCCTACATCCCCGAAGGGGAGAACATGAGAAAGCGTAGCGTGAAGTAAAGACACTATACAGACCCGACTATAGGTCGGTCTTGTTAATATTGTAAATAACGTAAATAGGAGTGTAAATAGACAGGGTAGTTAGAGTAGGATGTACCGGGATTGTGATTCACACGTCCATAATCACCTTTCCACGACCGATCCCGAGGATCCTACCAAAACGAAAGGCAGCAGCAGCCGAATGCAACGACAGAAGGGGAGGTACTAATGGACAGGGGTAGGCACCTGCCATGAAGGCAGCGTTTAGTAGCCTTGATATTAACGCCCCCTTAAGATGTAATAATAATGTAATGCGTTGCTACCTGCAGACGATATGAATATGAAGATATACCAGGAGGGAGCTATGACAATATGTCGGCGGGTAGTTCCCACCATAGAGATGACAGACGATAATTATATGTCCTAAGAGAGGTGATGAAAGTACTAAGGGCCGGTAACGCGGTAGTCGAGCGTTCTCTGTTGGCTGGCCCTTTCATCCTTGTCACCTCTTATTATTGGCGTAGAGCGGGCGTG